TTTGTTTGGTTTTGTTTTGTGAGATAGGTCTCACTGTATTGCCTAAACTGGGCCCAGATGATCTTCCTGCTTCAAACTTGCAAGTAACTGAAACTAAAGGCTTCTACCACTACACTTGGCTTGTCCAGTTTTATAACTGTTTTCAGAAAAAAAATATGCCAGTTTCTCTTCCCTGGCCTAATAAGTTAAAATGGAAATTTTCAACCATGGCTGTTCGTTAGAATCACCTGGGAACTTTAAAATTACCAACCTTGACGTGAGGTCCAAGCCTGATCATTTTTCTTACTATTTCTAAGTAATTAGAGAGAATTGGGCTGTTCTGAATAAGGCCATTCTGCCTGAAAGAGTGGGAACTGAAATTTGACCTTTCCTCTTTGGATACCAGTTGCCTCTAACTGCAAAAAACACTCTTGAAAGTTGTTAAAAACATGCCATGTGGGTTAGCAGAACTCTGGCTGTAATGTGTAACCATTGTTTTCCAGAGAAGAGGCTAGTGAATTCATGAATTCTTACTAGCTTTTACTGAGATTTAAAAATTATAAAAACTTTTTTTAACAGTATTTTGCAATTTATGTCCTAGAAGAAGGAAAGAGATAGTATATATAGCCATTTTTCCCACTTATACAAGCTCTAATATGGTGACATGATATATACTTAAGGCATACTCATCCCTGAAACTACTTGACCTGATATTTTTTCAGCGCAACTGTGTGTATGGATCTTTCTAAATAAAACAGAATTCCTCTCTGAGAACATATTGCTTATATAATGCTTCTTATTTTATATTTTACAGGGCACAAGTTAGGCAGACTTCCAGTGTTACTGTAGTTATAAGTATTAAAACTGTGTTGTGTATAAAAATACAAAAATCAAGCTTCTTGAATTATTTTAAGTAGAAATTTTTACTGTGATTCATGCTTTTTTGGATAGACTTACTAAATATAATTTAGGCCTTTCATCATTTTCATCACGAATTTCATATAATACTCTAATAGACTGGTATCCTTTGCTACATAAAAGTTTGGCATATTAGGGCCGGAGGTTTAGCTCAGCAGCACAAGTGCCTGCCTGGCAAGCACAAGGTCATGAGTTCAACCCCCAGTACCAAAAAAAAAAGAAAAAGTTTGGCATATTTGATCCTACAGTAAAGAGTTCCAAGTTACATTGATTTTTAACTTGTGTACTTTTTGTAGGGATGTTCTAGGATTTTTTTAAGAGGGATTTTTGTTTTATTTCAACATCAAGTTCTCACAATTTCTTCTGCCTGTATATGATTACCTCTATACTTCTTCACTTTTCTTTCTTTTTTTTTTTTTTTTTTTTTTTTTTTGTCTTTTTCATTTTTATCAGTACCAGGGATCGAACTCACGACTGCCTGCTTGCAAGGCAGGTGCTTATGCTGCTGAGCTAAATCTCCAGCCCTCACTTTTCTTTTTTAATTTGCTCTTTTGAAAGAACTGAAGAATGAGAAATCAGTTAATATAAACTAGTTAGAATCATATCTAATACTAAGCATAATTAGCTTTGTGTAATAAAAGGACTTTATGGTATTCTGTTATTAGTATAACTGAGGTCTTAACATGTATTCAATAAACATTCACAAAATGCCAACTGTTTTTCAAGGTAATTTAAGTATTATAATCTTATCTGCCTATAAATTGACCCTGTACCCAAAATTAGATTCTAATCTGCATGAGCTTATATAAAATTGTGTTCTAATAAATGCCATGTTAGCAATTTCAGCAGTATGTTAGGAAGAACATGGATAAAGGTACATTTTAACTGTGTAAAGCACCATTTTGAATGCTTGGTGTTTTGTCACTAGCTAGTGTTACTAAGTAAGGGATATTTTTAAAAATTAATGTACAAACAAGTCTCATTTCCATAAGCATATGCCAGTCAGTAATATCTTTTCCTCATATTCAAAGCTTAAATTTGTAGATTTGACTTTATTTTGTCTTTTGGTTAAAATTAAGCTGTATTTCCATCAGGTGGCAATCATACCTTAGTTAGGCCATACAACACAATTAATGTTCTTACTCATTACAAATCATCCCACTATAGTAATCATTGTAAAAGAATTTAGAAAGAGGACTTTGTGTGAATGCATACAAGAAAGGAATGATTTCTCATAATACAGCCAATAAAAAGGGAAGAGATAAATAGCTTGGAACACAAGATTTGGAATTTCTCAAATCTTTGATTGCTAGGTTTTTTACTTACTAGCTATATTATCTTGGTCATAGCATTCTTTATGGTTTAAACCAAAGAATGAAAATAAAACCTTTAGCATGGTATCTTATAGGTAGGAAACAGTAAAGAAATTGTCTTTGCAGGAATTAGGGAAGATAAGGACTGAAGGAAAAGCAATTCACCTATTTTTGCTAGGTCCAGATGCAACTTTATGAATCCATACAAAAGTACCATTCTTCCCATGTTATAATACTAGGGAAAACATCTCTTATAGGCAGATATTTTTTCCACTTCAGTGTTGGAGAGGAGAAGGGGTAATTGCATAGCTTTTGAAAGTAAAGACATGCATTGCAATCTTCTCATCCATGTTGCAAGGCTGTTTCCCAAGTCCTTTGTTGGTATTTTCTTTTAAAGAGTCAGACTCATCTGCTTAGAGAAACAAACTTAGTAAGTTATGTATTTGTGTGGTCAGATCTTGATAATAGTAAAATAGATTCCTAATCTGTTGTACATTGAAAACTAAAGGGTCATTATTCAGAGAATCCTCAATGTAATCTCAAGATGTAAATAATTTCTTCTCCCTGAATCCCAAATAAAATGTCTTTTGCATCTCCTACCTATTGCTTAATACTGCCTCAATGGCTGACGGAGCTTTTCCATTTATAACTAAAAAAGAAAGGATCAAAACATAATTATAATGAAAGAAATATTGAGCTAGAAATATTGAACTTACCAAGTACTTCTGTAACTTGCCAGTATACATGTCTTAGGGGATTCAGTGGTCATCAAAGTATAGTTTGTACTTCAAAGAAAATTATACTTCAAGAAGGGATACAATTTACATATATAATTATTGTAAAATGTAGTAAATACCATAATGCCAATTATAATAGCTTATATGCACTTTGCAGATTATGAACTGCTATTATATAATTACCTGTTTGTACTTTACAACCCCCATAGGTAGGACAGGTATTAAATGTAAGATTTACAAGTTAAATGCCTGAAGTCATAGTACCGTAAGGCAGTCAGTTCAGTAGGCACGTAAGTACAGACTGAAGTGCCTGTCACATAGCATGAAGAAAGTTAGCTTCCAGGTAGCAAACTGACTTGTATCATGTTTCCCATGTGCTAGATATGATTCTTTATACAAGTGATAGAGTGTCACATAAGACCGATAGAACCCCTCCGTCCCTCTGAGGAGGAATGTTAGTCTATGTTTCTTACTTTTGTTTCTCTTGTTTTTTTCACTTCATGTGGTACAGAAATACTTTGCATTCTGTCATCTAATCTTTGACAAAGGGGCTAAAAACATTATGCTGGAGTAAATGGTGCAGGGAAAACTGGCTATACACATGTAGAAAATTGTATCTAGACCCATATCTCTCACCATGTATTAAACTAAACTCAAAATGCATGAAGAACCTAAATATTAAAACAGAAACAATCTGCTAGAAAATAAAATAGGTAAAATTCTTGAAGTCATGAACATAGGTAAGAACTTTCCACATAAAACCCTAATGACACAAGAAACAACATCAGGAATCAACAAATGGAACTATGTCAAATTAAAAAGCTTCTGCACAGCAAAGAAAGCAACACAGTGAATAGACAACTTCCAAAATGGGAAAAAAAATTGCCAGCCATTCACACAAAGGACTAATATCTAGAAATATATATATTTATATTCCTCCCCCAAATTAAAAGCCTAGTCAAAAAATAGGCACGTGAAATGAATAGATACTTTTCAAAGAAGAAATGCAAATAGCCGATAAATAAATGAAAAAAATGTTCAGCATCTCTGACCATTAGAGAAATGCAAATTAAAACAACACTTAAATTCCATTTTATTTCAGAAAAAATGAGTATCGTCAAGAAATCAAATAAGTGCTGATGAGACTCTGAGGAAGAGGAACCCTTATGAATTGTTGGTGGGAGTGTAAACTATTACAACCACTGTGAAAATTCATAAGGCAATTCTACAAAAATTTAGAAATTACATTCAACCTCCTTCTCTCCCTACTGTGTATGTTCCCACAAGAACTAAAAGATAGCATCTTACAGTGATATATGCATACCCATGTTCATAGACAGCTCCCAATAGCTAAATCTTGAAAGCCTGTATGTGCCTAAACAAATGTATAAAAAAGTATGGCATTTATACACACTGGAGTACTATTCTGTCATAGAAGGATAAACTGAAATTTAATCTATGGGAAAATGGATGCACTTGGGACCATAAGTAAAGTAAATCAGACACACAAGGTTAAATATCACATAGTTTCTCTGACACAGGAAAACGAAAGTATAAATAAAGAACAAAGTAAAAGAGAAAACCAGGACATAAGTCTTTTGCAAAAGAGAAGGGTAATAGAAAATGAAGGGAGGGATCAGAAAGGGTGAGTAAAAAGAATTTAAGATGTGTTGTGTGCATGTACCAGCTTCTTATAAGGGATGTAATCATTATGTACTGCAAATATGAACCAACAAAGATAAAAAGTTTTTTAGAAATATAATACTTGACAACACTAGGGAGGGAGAGAATTTTAATTCTCATGGGTGGTTAAGAAAGACCTAATGGCAGTTTCCCTCCCTACCTTTCTTCATTATATCAATTTTTAAAATGTGCCATGTTAAAAAAATTTAAAAAATAAAAAAAGTTGAGTCATGGGGCTGGGGATTTAGCTCAGTGGCTTAAAGCGCCTGCCTGGCAAGCATGAAGTCATGAGTTCGATCCTCGGCACAAAAAAAAAAAAAAAAAAAAAAAAAAGTGCCATGTTACTAAAGATGGTGTTGGAACTTTTTAGGTTCGCAGATTTTCTGAGGCATTCTTTTGTTTTGAACATCCAAGAGAAGCCGCCATTGCCTATCAAGAACTTCAGTGAGTAACATTGCTCTAAAATTGAAATTACTTTATTTCCTTTTCCATATAACATCTTAGAATTTGTTAGTGCCACAATATACAGTGTTTAAAATAGAAGAAATTGGAAGAATTTGAAGTTCAGAAACCTACTTTTTAGTCCAGTTGGGTTTAGTCTTAGGAATTGTTTCATGAAGGACCCTTGCATTACACAAAAACATAATGCAGTTGCATCCATGGACTGCAAATTAGGAAAACATGAGGGTACTCTGAGTAGATGGAAATGGTCTGTGTCATGTGGTCATTAGTCAAAACTATACAACTAAGATTTACATCTTTCAATAGACATAAACTGTTCTTAAAAAAAATACCAGCAAATAGTAGTATAGGGATAGATGGTAAATATTGAGGGATAAATAAAACAAGAATGGCAAATATTAATTAATCAGACTGGATAATAGGTACAGGAGAGGGTTTTTTGGTACTATTTTGTTTACTTTTATAAAATTGTTTGAAATTTTCCATAAGAAAAGGGGTTGTTTTAAAAACAATTTGTAGTTCAATTCCCAGTACCCAAAAAAATAAAAATGATAAAAACAATTTGTATTAGAGAAGTATATACCTTATTTTAAATAACTATTAATTTTTTAATATGTGGTTAAATAAAGAAGCCACAATTGCCAGGAGTGGTGGTACGTGCCTGTAGTCCCAACAGTTGGAAGGCTTAGGCAAGAAGATTGCTGCAGGTTTGAGGCCAGCCTGGGTTACGTAGTGAGTTTAAATATAGCATTAACTACATAGCAAGACTTGTCTCCAAAAAAAAAGAAGCCACAAGAACATACATACTTTTTTCCCAATGTTGTCATAAATTGTTAGGCACGTTGGCTTTTAGTATTTTTGTATGTGTTATTTATAGAAAATTTAGAAGCTTAGACAGTAAATACAGAATCAAAATAATGTAAGAAAATTGGCCGGGGATTTAGCTCAGTGGCATAAGTGCCTTCCTGGCAAGTGCGAGGTCATAAGTTCGATCCCCGGCACCAAAATAAAAGAAAAAGAAAATATAAGAGAGCATGGTAGAAATGAAATAATCTGTTAACATAATTTTATGTCAACAAATGATAATTTTCATCTTACTAGTTTTTATCTCTTACTAAAAAATTCTTTTTCGAAGCATGGTGGCACATGCCTGTAATCCCAGAACTCAAGAGGTTGAGGTAGGAAGATCACTGCGAGTTTGCTACAAAGTGAGTTCAAGCCACTCTGAACTGCATAGCTAAACCCTGTGTCAAAAAGATCAAAAAAAATAAAAAGTTCTTGATAAAGAGATTATGTCTTAAAGAAAGATGATATGGATGTTGGGAGAAGACATAGATGGACTGCAAAGTGGAGTTGGATGTAATTTTTTTTAGTATAATCTGACTTACAAAATATTTTTCAGTGCTCAGAGTCATCTACAGATGTGCACCGCTATCAAAAATACTTCCTTCTGCAGTTCTCTTCCACCCCTACCTATTGAATGTAGTGAATTAGATGGAGATCTCAATTCATTACCTATAATCTTTGAAGATAGGTATTTAGATTCAGTTATTGAAGGTAAGTATAATCTAAATATATAAGCTGCACATATCATTTTCAGTATAATATGCGTAAAATCATTCCCTAATGTCAAACAATTTTCCCCTCCAATTTTTTTTATTTTTGAGGGTGTTAGAAAATTAGTCAGAAAAGCAATGTTAATCATATGAGTTCTTGTTTTAAACCTGAATCTTCTTTTCTTTGGATAAAAGACTTAGATGCACCCTGGATGGGAATTCAGAGTCTTCAGAAGTCAGAGTCCAGTAGAATGGATAAATATGAGAATGAAGAAAGCTCTGTAGCAGGACTTTCTAGCCCAGAGTTGAAGGTCAAACCTGCTGGTGCCTCCAGTATTTGGTACACAGAAGGTGAAAAGCAGCTAACAAAACCTCCAAAAGGAAAGAATGAAGAATCAAATAAATCCAAGGTTAAGGTTGCTAAGCTCATGAAAACAATGAAACCCGAAAACCCCAAAAAATTAATAAAACAGAACTCTAAGGATTCTGTGATTTTAGTAGGCTACAAATGTTTGAAAAGTACAGCATCAAATGACCTCACTAAATGCTTTGAAGGCAATCCTTTGCATAGTCAGAAGGATGGTCTGGATCCCACAATGTGTGGATATAATTTTGACCCAAAGTCCTGCATCAGACAGACAAGTCAAAATGAAGCTAGCTATTTGCCAACTAATACAGAGAGAACTGAACAAAAGTCTCCAGATATTGAAAATATACAGCCAAACCAGTTTAATCCTTTGAACTCTGGCAGCCTAAATCTTTGTGCAAATTTGTCCATTTCAGGTAAACTTGATATCTCCCAGGACGATAGTGAAAATACACACCTGGATCACAATATGGCATGCAGAAGTTCATCAGATGATTGCCATGAACATCAGACAGCCCCATCTTCGGGAGTTAAAACGATTGAAATAAACCCCTGTAATAACAGTCCTCTCAGTGGAGAAATAATCACTGTTCAAAGAGGGCCATGGGCTGAGCTTCGACAAGATGCAATGTTTGTGGACAATTTACTACCCAGCTTTGAGTCTTTAGACTCTAATGGTAAATTTAAATCTGTAGAAACAACAGTTGAAAAGGAAACTTTGCAAGAAGCAAAGTGTCGTTTTGTTGGAGAATCACTAGCAAAATTAAGAAGTAATCCATCTGCTCCTTCTACAAAAGAATATCATGTTGTAGTAAGTGGAGATACAATTAAGTTACCAGACACTAATAGCACCTATGCCTCATCTAGATTTTCAGATTCGGGTGTCGAAAGTGAACCAAGTTCTTTTGCAACACATCCAAACCTTGATATAGTCTTGGAAGCCACACAAGAACAAGGTCCTTTCAATAATGAAAGATTACTTCCTCAGCTTTTGATGAAACCTGATTGTAACGTAAAGTTTTCTTTAGGAAGCCATTGCACTGAGAGTACCAGTGCTTTAAGTGAAATACAGTCATCTTTAACATCTATAAACTCTCTACCTTCTGATGATGAACTGTCACCTGATGAAAATTCTAAGAAGTGTGTTGTACCTGAATGTCATCTAAGCGATAGCAAAACTGTATTAAATCTAGGAACAGTTGATTTGCCAAAATGTGATGAGACAAAGAAGTCAAGCATTATTTTGCAACAGCAGAGTGTTGTGTTTTCAGAACATTTGGACAGTGAAACTTTAGCAATACATTCCTTAAATTCAAGCACTAAGGACCCTTTGCAACTTGTTTTTTTAGATAAAGATACTTCCAGTGATGTGGAAAGTAGTTGCAGCTCCAAACCTAAATTTGACACTACATATAAAGGCCCTCAGAGTCCTGATAAATCTAATAACTCTGCAAGAACAGCAATGTTAAATCCAAAACTGATTTGTTTAGGCACTTCGTGTGTTGTTTCAGGTTCTGTTTCTACTAATGCAGAGGGTAGTAAAGATGGAACTGTGGAAGGAAAAAACAGTGATCCATTACATCTCAGGGAGCTCTATTTAGAAGCTCCTACAGTTCAAAGTGAAATTCATGTGGATACAAGTGACCCTTTTTCACCCAGTACTGATCTGGTGAAGCAAGGGCTTGTGGAAAACTACTTTGGTTCTCAGAACATTACAGATATTTCTGGCACATGTAATGTTAGCTGTGACAATTCAGTTATCTCTCAAAAGGAAACTTGTCAAAAAGGAATTAGTAACCTTCAGCAGGAACAAGGTAATGAGGATGAAGAGGATGAACAGGATCAACGAATGGTTCAAAATGGGTATTATGAAGAAACAGATTGTCCAGCTTTGGATGAAACAATAAATGCTCCCTATACCAGCAGAGATCCACTAGCAGAAGAAAGACTTATAAAGTCAGAGAAATTAAAGAGTGACTATTTGAGAGATGGTATGAATATGCCTATTGTTTGTACTTCTGGGTGTTTATCGTTCCCATCTGCACCACGAGAGTCTCCTTGTAGTATTAAATATTCTTCTAAAAGTAAATTTGATGCCATTACAAAGCAGCCAAGCAGCATTTCTCACAACTTTACTTCTTCAATTTCGTGGTATGAGAATTCGCCAAAACCTCAAATACAAGCGTAAGTAATGGAGTTAAATAGTATATGTTAGTAAATGTATGTAAAACATCACAAATAGTGCCAAGGGGCTGAATATCTATTTGTTCTCTGGTTTCTGTATCATAACAAGTGCTCCTTTAATTGAGTGTCTAAAATGAGCACATTATACCTTTTGACACACATGTATAGTTTCCAAATGATCGTCCCATTCTGCAGGCTAAATATTCCTTATATGACTGTCCCACTGATGATTATATAAGTATGGAATAATTGAAGTTAAACCCCTTTTTTCATCAGTATTTCATGTTTCCTCTGTTAACTCACAAAAAAAAAAAAATAGGTTTCGTGAGTATATTTAAGAAATAAGGGCAATAACAGGTAAATAAATAACAAGTTAGTAGAAACCACTTAAACCTACAAGACCTGTATTGCCTTAGCTAAATTAGTGGTTTTGAAAATTGGATTTCATAGACCAGTAAAATATCCAGAAGAACTAGGAGATAGTTTGAAGCATACGCTGCTGGTGCACCCCAGACTGAGTCATGATCTCTGGGGTGAATGAAGTCAAGGGCTGTGTGCAGTTGATATTTTCAATTCACAGATTATTCTGATTTATGCATAAAGTTATGATCTCTAGACCCTAAAGCTAGAAACCAGTGAGAGAGCAATACCTAATGCCAACAGAATAAGCATTATACCACCTGCTTAGTACCTTACATGGTCTGAATTGTCAGAAAGCAAAGGTTTATGTCTCCACCTAGTGCAATGATGGTGAACCTTTAGAGCTTTCAGGATGCAAATAGCTTGTTGTGTGTGCCTCACCACTAGGTTCTCCATTGTGGACCTAGTGTCATACATAGTTTAGTGTTCGTTAGCTTCTTTGAGTTAGGCTTTTTATCAGTCCAAATTATATACTGTTAAATCATTTTGATCTTCGCAGTCCTGAAAGATTATTAGTCATTCCAAATGAGTATATGTTATCAATTACATTTAGTCAAATGTTTGTTTTGATTCTGCTCCTTCTTATTGGCAATTTTAGAGAAAAATACAAATAACCTAAAGTAATAAACAGCTACCATTCTCACTGTTGTATTTTGGTAAAAATGGAAAAAAAGAAGATCTGATTACATGATAAACTTCAGATTATCTTTTTCTAGTACCTCTCCCAGATTATTTTCATGATTTCCAAACCAAACATCTCTGTGTTTGTTCCTCTGCTTTTTTTCTAAATTCAAGAGGTTGTCTTTTTGATTCTAAAGCTGAGTATGATCCTTCATAAAGCATATCTTCATATATTTTACTTCAGCTTTCTTCAGGCAAAAGAAGAACTGAAGCAACTCAAGCTCCCCGGGTTTATGTACAGTGACGTTCCTCTGCTGGCGTCCTCGGTGCCATATTTCAGCATGGAGGAAGAGGACGTCTCTGAAGACGGAGTGCATCTCATCGTCTGCGTGCATGGCTTAGATGGTAGGTGATGTCTGTTGATGTGGCTCATAGCCACTCAGTGGATTTTCTTTTCCTAATAGAACTCATTTCATTTTCTTTTAACTTTTGAACTAAAAATACTTTAATTACATAACTTAATATTAAATCTGTGTTAAAGCTGAAGTATGCTTAAGTTAGATTTTCTTTTTAACTGACACATATGCCAACAATATTTAATTTTTTTTATTTTTCTGTCTTCTCATTGTTGGTTTTATCAACTATCACCCCACAGCAATCATTTGATTTTTCTTTATGTCTTCCTGATTTATTAGCTGGCTGCTTAAAAATCAATATTCTGTGAAGTTTATTATTAAGGTAGCCATTAAATTCTAAATTATTGGCTTTCATACTGTGACATTTTAACAGCTATTTTGGTTACTTAGCAGTTTTGTTTTTGTTTTGCTTTGTTTCGTTTTGATTACTTAGAAGAAGTGAAATATTTCTAGATTAACAAATTATCACTGTGTTTCTGTGACATTAACTGGACTTTATGTTTAAAATAATAAAATACTAGACAAAGGTCTTTAGCACTAAAACCTCATGAAATTGAGGTTTTTTAGAAGAAAAGCAAGACTCTAGGAAGTGAAACCTTCAACACTAATAAAATTTTCAAAGTAAGATTTATCACAGTAGACTTTCTGATAAATTCTTTAAAACTTCCAAGAAACGGATTATCCATATGCTGTATAAATTGTTCCAGAACAATAGGTAAAAAATACAGAACACAGCCAATTCCTTAAAGTTACCTAACCTTGCTACCAACTCTGATAACAATATCTCACCAGTAACCCCCTAAAACAATAGGTCAATTTAACATAAATACACTTAATGAAACACTAGCAAATAGAATCAGTATATTAAACTAAGTTACTACAACTAATAGGGTTTCATTCCCAGAATGTAAAGACAAGTAAATATAAAGAAATGTGTTAGCTATATCTTCATCAGCAAATAACTAAGAAACTATTGGTAATATTTGATATCCATTCCCAATTATGACATTAGTGCACCAAATATTAAATCTTAAGTAGAACTAGTTTCTGGCTCATTAATGTGTTTAAACATGTATTTCTAGGTCACATAAAAATTAATAATGAAATACTATTGGTATGCCTTTTAAAATCAGAATCAAAACAGTTATCTTTGACAATGACATGTATAAACTGTTTTGTTTTGTGAGGGTTTTTGTGGTGGTGGTGTTTGGTATCAAAAATCAAACTCACGACCTCACACTTAGCAGGCAGTTACTGTGCCATTGATCTATATCCCCGGTCCTATTTTAGGTATTCAAATATATTTTTATTTCTTCAGTCTATACCAATACCATTAAAGGAAGTCAACACATTAACACTATAATGCTCAGTTTAAAAGGACCACCTATGAACCCAGGGTGATGGCCCATGCCTATAATTCCAACAGTTGGGAGGCTGAAGCAGAAAGATTACCACAAGTTCAAGGCCAGCATGGACTACAGAATAAGTTCAAGACCAGACTGAGCAACATAGCATGACCCTGTCTCAAAAAAAAAAAAAAAAAAAAAAGATAAATAAATAAATGACCACCTCTGGTGGTGACTGTAAGAAGTCAGTTACACCAAAGTGATATACTGACAGTTTATAAATGTACTCTTAGGTGGAAAAGTGAAACTATCAGTGTGACTAAAACTTAAGAAACAAACTGTTAAAAGACATTGCTTCATAGAAATCAGTTTTGCCATAAAAATTGATTATTTCAGAGTATATTATCTAATCACAAATGACAAAGACCATAAACTTTTCTCTAAAAGATATGATAATACATGCTGATACACTTTGTACCTTCTGGAATATTTCATTCTTTAACATCAATCTCTTAAATTTTCTAGGTAACAGTGCAGACCTCCGATTAGTAAAAACTTACATTGAACTTGGACTGCCTGGAGGAAGAATTGATTTTCTTATGTCTGAGAGAAATCAGGTACAATATGACAGTGTTTTTAGTGAAAGCAACTATCTTAGTTACTTTTTACTCGTCACTGAGACAAAACACCTGATGCCCAAAGTTGGGAAAAGAAAAAGTTGGCTCCAAGGCAAGGTGGCATGGCGGGCCACAGTTCATGGCGCCTGTAAACAGCAAGGCAGAAACCGGCAAAAGAGAGAGAGAAAGGCACACCTTCTTCCTACCATTACACTACATCCTGGCTCCACCCCTATGTGGGTATAGCTCTGACATCCTCAATCATGCTTTAGACAATGAACCAATCACAGATGCATAATGCAAACGCATGAGGCCTGGGGGCCACCAATACAAACCATGACAGCAACCATTTTGTACCAGCTTTTTCATAAATATTTGCTTGCTACAAACCCTTGCCATACTAGAAATCATTTTTCTGAGTTGCATGAAATTTAACATAAGGCATGTTTAAATTTAATCTATGTGATTTGTATTTTGACTTGTGTTCCCTTCACATATAAAACATATTGAGAATTTGATATTTCTATGCAAACATTTCATTATTTAAACCATTCTAAGTAGACTTGTGCTTAATACTGAAAATAGGCATAAAACTAAATGAAGCAAGTTTTGCATATGTAATATTTTCAATAGTGTTAAATATTGAACATTTTTCCCTAGAAACTTACTCATTTTGCTCATTTTAATATAATACATATTGCATTTATCAAGTTCTGTAAGAAACATTGGACTTAAACATACTCTCAGTACCTAAATTAAAATAATATTTATTTTCAGTTAGTTTCTCTTATAATTAAACATATTTTAACATACAATGCATCTTTTTTGCTTATATTTAGAATGATACTTTTGCTGACTTTGATAGCATGACGGATCGCCTTTTGGATGAGATAATACAGTATATTCAGATATATAGTTTGACGGTGTCAAAAATAAGGTAACTTCTAACTTATCCAATACATTTTTATATTTAGTTAGAGAAACTAAACACTTCATAGTTGTGTTTTCCTAATCCAAAATACAGGAAAGTGTCACTTGAATTGACTTAAAAAGAAAAGAAATAACTTAAAAGATTTTAAGGGAAGACAGTATTACATGATTTCATTTTTTTTTTTTTTTTTTTTTTTGTCTTTTTTTTGAAGTAGGGTCTCACTATGCAGTTCAGGCTGGCCTTGAACTCACTTTGTAGCCCAGGCCAGTCTCCAGCTTGCAACAATCCTCCCAACTCAGCCTCCCGAGTGCTGGGATTACAGGCGCGAGCCACCATGCCTGGCAAAACCACCAACCTTTTTTTCTTTTTTTTTTGGTACCAGAGATCGAACTCATGACCTTATGCTTGCAAGGCAGGCACTTATGCCACTGAGCTAACTCCCCAGCCCTTGATTTCATTTATATGATTTTCCAGGAAGAGCAAGTCTGTAAGGCATAGAAAGTAGATCAGTGATTACATAAATATTACCTGTGCCTTGAAAATATTGCTAGTTTAAAAACTGCCACATGTTCCCACCATATAGAAATCATTGATGTTTGAGGAGATAGAAATGCTAATTACTGTGATTTGGTCATTACATACTGCTTATCCCTGTCCCACATAAATGCATGCAAATATTATGTATGAATTAAAATTTTTAGATTAGTTTTTTCGTAACTTATCCAGTTTTGAAATATGGAACAGTATAAGACAGCTTGTCTTTTTATGAGTACAATTTCTTTTTTTTTTTAAGAGCAGAATTTATTTGGTAGGTAAAGAAAGCTATATTTATTGGGAAAGAAAGCTTCTGAGAGAGATAGAAGGGGTTCCGAGTGGTTTGCCCTATGAGTACAACTTCATTTTTAAGTACAAATACTTTAAAAAAAAAAAAAATAATGATTTAACAAGTAAATATTTTTGTGCTTCAGGAGGAAAATTTATAATCTAGTCAGATTATTACTTTTAAAAAGTATTTACATTTACGCAGCTAAACACCCTGATAAGTAAAAATTGTCTGGTAAATATCTTATTTCTACAAAATTTAAATTATAGAAATCTATATTCTCACATTTTTCTCTTTAAGATACTGTTATATTATTTTAAAAATGAAACTACAATTTTAAAACAAAAGAAAATTTTAAATTCTTGGTATTTCATTTCTGTATTGATTATCAGCTTTGACTTTTATTTTTAAAAGTAATACTGTGGGAGAAATATCTTTTTTTCTTTTAAAGCTTTATTGGACATTCATTGGGCAATTTAATAATCCGTTCTGTGCTTACGAGGCCGAGATTTAAATATTACCTCAGCAGACTTCATACCTTTCTGTCTCTTTCTGGACCTCACCTTGGTACACTCTACAATAGCAGTACTCTTGTTAATACAGGTAAAAGCTTTTTGTGTAAAAAATATGGCATAAGCAAGAAACTTAAGTTTAAATCTAATATTACTCATATTTATTTTAAAGCCAATTTGTCGCGATTGGAATTTCATGAAACAAAAGATGTGGGTAATTTTGTATTTTGTACATGAAATATGTTGATAAAATTCATTTCAGAAAATAGTCTCATACTTAGGTGGTTTTTGTCAAAAGTCACAAGAGCAGCTGGATGCAGCGGTATACACCCAAGATCCCAGCTTCTTTGAGGCCCTCCTGGGCGGTTTGTCAACACCCTGTCTCACAAATCAAATAAAAACTTTGGAGGAGGTGTAATGGAATATGTCTGTAATCCCACCACTGTGGGAGACTGCGGCAGTAGAATCACAGGTTCAAGCCCAACCTGGATGACTTAGCAAGAACCCACCCAAAATTTTAACAAGACTGGGGCTGTAGCTCTGATCAAAGGCGCTGGCTTCAATCTTTAGTACCTCAAAAAGAAGAAAAAGAAGGTAGGGAATTCTGGGAATGTAGCCCAGTGATAGAGTACTTGGCTAACATGGTACAGGCTGAACTTAGTCCCAGTACCACAAAAATAATCACAAAAGCATTTTTACCCTTTTCCCATTAGACTTCAAATATTTTCAGTATGTATTCATCTTATAAACTAGTCTACCATTCTGTTATTTGAACAGGTAACAGGTATATTTTAATATACTATAAAGTTATCTAGAATGTTAGGTTTTTTTTATGTTGACTTAGAAAGCAATTAAAGATTCAAATAATTTGTAAGAAATTCAAAATTTCTAAAGAAACTTAATTGAAAGTTAAAACTCTAATTTTGGTTAGTTTAAATGGTCTCATTGAGAAAAATCTAGCACTTGATTTGCCTGAGACTTGGTCTGGTTTTACCCTTAAATTTTTAATAGTTTACAGGTTAGTTGATTGGTTACCATTGTGAATAAATTAGTCTCTTCAATAATTTTTTTTTCCCTGAAACAATGTCTTGCTATAACTTAGGCCAAGTTGTCCCTAAACTCACTATTGTAACCCAGGCTGGCTTCAAACTCACAATGATCCTCCTGCCTCAGCCTCCAGAGGGTTGGGGGGAATCACAGACATGCACCGCCATGCCCAATTCTTTTCATTAATTCTTTACACTCTTATTTCTGTTTTCTTCCTCTTTTTATTGACATACCTTACCTGTTTCCTTTGTATCCCATCTCTGATTATAGTTTCAAAAAGAAAACATGACAAAACAAATCCTTAAATGATATAAAATAGATCAGCATGAATAGGATGTGCTACAGTACTTTAAATTTCTTTAAAGTTTTTCTCAGAGGCACTTCCAACTATAAGATTTAATCAATTAAAGAAGACTCCCCCTCTCTTCTTTAATCCTAATTATAGAAGCAAAGAATGTGAAGTGAATATTCCACAATCTTGAAAAACCAATTCCAAAATGATCAAGATTTTATGTAATTTCTGTAAGGAAATGATGTATAATTATACATTATTGATAATACAAAGATGTACAGTTTTAAATGAAACAAATTATATTCACCTGTATTAGAAAAAATTAGCCAATTATTCATTCTAAGAGTTGGTTTTTTATATTAGTGCACTCTACCTTAACTGTATTGATCTGTAGACTGAATCCCCAGTGCTCTTGGCATTTGGATCTATTCCTATTTGTAAAGTTTCTTATGCATCTTTATAATTTAAAGAAATACAATGTATTTATAGGTACACTTTGCCTGAATTTGTTCTCCTTCATCTGTTATCTGTTTCATTACTGAGTGTGATAGAAATAGTAAGCTGTTCATCAGCCATCACTAACCATAGTTAACCTGTGCATCTTTGTGCATGTTTGGATTTGTTACCAGGAAGTGGTAGATATTTTGCAGATTTTTTATTGGCTAACAGAATGTTAATTTGAGAGATGTCATTTTTGAAGTAATAGAAATAATCGTCTTGATGCATGTTATTTTCATTTCCATTTATACTCTCATATCACGTAACTCTCTAGGTCTCTGGTTTATGCAGAAATGGAAAAAATCAGGTTCCCTTTTGCAACTGACATGTCGAGATCACTCAGACCCTCGCCAAACGTTTTTATATAAGCTTAGTAATAAAGCAGGTAAGTATCTACTAACAGTTTGGGAAATAGGCATGTGAAAGCTTTTCTAAATAATGATTAGCAAATGGACAATATGTCTTTTCTAGTGATTAAAAAGTTATCATTCTCCTGCAATTTCATAGCAGTGAAATAGCAAGCTCAGTACTGAGACTTAAGAGGTGAAAGAGTAGTTTTTAAAAATTTTTTTGATTGTAGTTATCATTTAGGAGCTGTATAGCTACTTTTAAATTACCCTAAAAATGTTAGCAGTTGTTACTCAATACCAGGGTCTTTTAACAAGGCCTTTGCATGTCATAGCCCAATTTTCAACTCTTAGTAGACTACATTTTTGTACCTATTTCACAAATTTCTGAAAAATGTCAGAAACTAAACTATAATAATTATTCCTTAAGTTGTTGCAACTTAGAATGTATTTGAGACTGTTCTTCCTGACTCTTCTTCCCACATCTACTAAGTTACCAAATCTAAAAACAAAATTCAGCTTTCTTAGTAACGTAATACTTCTTCCTCTGCTTTGGTATTGCCTTAGTTCAACCTTTATGGCTTTACAGACTGTGGCTTTATCCTCCTAACTGTTTACTTACCTCCTAGGTGTCCCCTTCTATCCAGTCTCATTTCCTCATTAAACAAAATGATCTCCTAAAAATTTAATCAGAGAATACCGGGCATGTTTGGAATCTTGCATGTTATTCTGTGGCATTCACAACAGAGTTCATATTCCAAGCACAGATTCTGGATCCTGATGGCTTGCTGTGTTTCTTCATCTTGCCGTGCAGTCTTATCTATATTCATGCTACCATAACCTAAAACTCCTTTACCATAACCTAAAACTACTTTAACCTGTGTGTTTTCTGCCCCTGTTCCTACTCATGTATTTATCCTTTTTTGAATTAATGTTCTTTGTGTCCTAAAATTAAACTGAAATACCACGTTTTATCAAAACAGTTTCTTGATTTATAAGTTTCTTATTTACTGTTGGTTCACTCTCAGGTATCCCATATATACCTTTATATTCCAAACCTATATTTCTGAGACTAACCTCAGTAGTGAATTTTAGTCCTCATTTGCCTGCTAGATAGGTGTCTCTTTACATCACAAACTAATATGTTTAAAGCTGAATCTATAATCTTCTTTTGCTAGCTGTTTTTTTTTAGTAAGTGATCCCAGTACATAATGATTATTTTTATTATGCCGAGTTTATAACATGTACGTAACCTGAAGTCGTTTTTGTCCACTTCCCCTTCGTTGTCAATCATTTATATTTCTTAACCTCCTTTCCTTAAGTAGGATCTGTTGTGACACTTTTTTTCCCATTCCTCCCATACCTATTTAATATTTAATATAGTTCTTCCTAGTAGACTTTCAGTACATGCCCATTGCGCTGATGAATAAATCAATGAATTATCTTACAGTATTTTTTTCAGTACCTGAAAGCAATTCAGATATCACATAGTAAGATAGATCAAATCAAATGCAATGTATATATAATTCTCATATGAGAGAAACTTCAGACTTTAGCTAGAACCATTGTGTGTAGCTTAGCATTAAGCTGCTGACAGTTTAGGATATAGGTAAAATGACCAAGTTGAAGCTAAACATCCCCTTTTAGGCAAAGTATGCCTTTTCAGGCTCCTGTAGTCCCAGGTACTGGGAAGCTGAAGGTGGGATAATCACCTGAGTCCAATATTTCCAGAAAAACCTGTGTAACAAGAATCTATCTCCAGTATTTAATTATATATCAATATAAGGAAAGGTAGCAGCAGACACATGTAGCACATTATTAAATATAGCTTCTTTAACTTTCAGGGGTAGAAACACTGCCTGAACTGTGCAAAGAGGACTCTGAAACACAATGAGGTTGTGTGGCTTGTCTGAGATCATATAGTAGTAAGTCATCATGCAGCTAGTCAGCCAACAGTGTTGTCATGATGAGCTAATTACGTATTTTCAAAAACTTTAGAAGCTACTTCTAATTTCAGTTTTAAACACCAAGAGTTTTTTATCAAGTGATTTTAAAGTTTTAGTACTTACAAGGGTTGAAGGAAGTCTTTTGAACAATGATTTTTTTCCCTTTTTTATGTTTTGTTTTTTGTCTCGTCAATTGTGAGAAATAGTTTCTAAACTAGTACAGGAAATACACATAAAATATATAGGTTCACACCAGCAACGTAAGTAAGTAAACAGAACAGAGGAAAAGAGCACATAATCAAATTTACATAACAGATACTCTTTTTAAGCATTTTAAAATAATCAGAAGCAGTCACTTATGTTTTATTCTTCTAAAGCTATACCAGGCAGGGTGATACATACCTGTGATCCAGTGTTCAGGAAACTGAGGCAGGAGGATTACCATGAGTTCCAAGACCAGCCTGAACTACATAATAAATTCAAGGGAGCCTAACTACATAGGAAGACCCTATCTCAAAAACAAGTAAAAAAAATCTACATCGTTGTGGTTGCCCTTTTTTGATCAGTACTTCCATTTCTTCTGAACAACTAATTTGCCATTCTCTTGGAAAACCTTAAATTACCTGTCTCAATCAAAATTCAACCTTTTTCCTTCTTCCCTTTTTCATGTAAGAAAAGCCCCCAGCTGTGACCCTGCCTTTTGAAAGTCTTTTTTTCTGCAAGTTTATAGCTTTCCTTGATTGAAGTTATTTGTTATTATTAAATGAAAACATTTTTAAAACTTAAAATAATTTGCAAGATTTCTAAAATAAATAGTTTTTTATTAAAATATGTATTTTTTACATATGATGATTGCTTTTTTTCTATTTTTATATTTATACATGGTGGATCTAGTAAAGAATCACAGAAATGTTATTTTTTAAAGGAAAATACGTTTTTGATTAAGGTATTATAAACATGAAGCAAATTTTTAAAACAATTTTGAGGGATACTAGGGATTCAACCCAGAATGCTACACTTGCTAGACAAGTGCTGTGCAACTGGACAACACTTTTAGATTTTTTTTTTTTTTTTTTTTTTGAGACGGGGTCTTATTAAGTTGCCCAGGCTGGCCTGAAATTTGTGATTGTCCTGCCTGCCATTCCCAAGTAGCTGGAATTACAGACATGCATCACTGAACCTTGCTTATAGCAAACTGTCACACACAGAGACACATTCTGCAAACTGCTGTGTGTGTGTATCTCTAACAATATACTGTTAGTAGATGTTAGTGTGAATACTAACATCTCAGCATTGAATATCAAGGGAAAGAAGATAAAAGATCTAGAGTGATATGAAAGTAAATGATTATAGAGAGCAATTAAGGACACCAGATCTAAAGTAGACAAGATTACTGAAACAGAGGGGATCATGGGCACTACTGAATGCTATGATTAGGGTGCAAAAAATAGCCAAGTAATCATCTATCCATTAGTAGAATTTCAAAAACAAATTATCCTTTAAGATCTACCTAAAAGCATTTATTTAGAGTCTCTTTAGCAGCTATTGAATTCTGACAAATAAAGTATAATGATTAAAGAAGTATCCTACTGTGCTACTGTGGCACATATTATCTTTTTTTCCACAAGATTAGAGTGTAAATAGGTATCACTTTGATATATAAATAACATGTTCTGTTTCTCTAAGTGTAGGAAGAATCAGCAATAGCCAACATTATTTGAGAAGCAAATTCTTTCAAATGTATTTAAAATAAATGAGAATGGTCTAATATTGTTTGGTCAGATTTTTTGTCTTTTGTTTTCGTTTGTTTTGGTTTTGGTTTTGGTTTTTTGGGTTTTTGAGACAGTCTTGCTACCTAGTTCAGGCTAGCCTCTAACTCACAAGGATCAGAATGCTGGGATTATAGGCATGGACCACCACACCAGGCTAGTATGTCAGTTTTTAAAGCACAGGTGTTCTTAGCTGGAGCATTGTTGACATTCTAAGTGGGATAATTCTTTGTTTTCATAGGTTATATGCAAGGCTGTATAGCAGCCTTTCTGGCCTGTGCTCTATATGCTAGTACCACACAAACCTAAAAAGCTGAAAATAAACTTGACTAAGGTTATAGTTGAGGAGAGATGCTTGACCAGCATGTGTGGACCCTGAGTTTGATCCCCAACTCTGCACTCAGTAATATACAATCTCTTAGGTGCACCTAGAAAGGAATGTGGAGTGATACACACAACCAATAGCTATGTTGAACTGAATACGTAGGGCAAGCAGGAGGAGGTGATTAGAACAAGCTTGAGTCTTTTCTTTAATAAAATGGCTTGGATTCAAAAAATAAAAGTGACATAGGAAAGAGCACAGGTACAGGACAGAACCTTTAGAAACTAACACTTAAGGAACCACTTAATTATGAAAGTCTAACCTGCTAAATGGTTTGTCAGTCACCACACATGTTAGGAGGCCTACTGTGTGTCACACACTAAGACCCAATATGTTTTTGTTTTTCATTATTTTAAGAGAAATGAGTAATATATTTTATATGCTTTGCTTAAATCCCAAATACTAAATACAGTTCAACCCAGTCTTTTCCAGCTTTTTTCATATCATTGAAAATGATGACATTTTTAAAACACAAAAGGGAAAGCCATTCTGACATGTGTAAAGAAACTACCCAGGAGTTATAAGTGGGAAGTACCAGAAGTTTACTGTAAAACATTCTAGAACAAAGCTCTATGTACACACATCCCAATTCTAATGCATTGTTAGTATTTGTATATTATTTAATTATTATATATATATATATCCTACTTTATCACATAAAATTTTAATTAGTAGACTGAGCCAAATAGTAAAATTAGAATATTACTATTGATACTACAGAGCTCAAAAAAATGGTTTTATTACCTACATGAATTCATTAATAGAGTATTCAAATGTCCTAAGCCCTAAATACTCCTAATTTGCGGGAAGAAAAGAAGGAAGAAAAAAAGACAGGAAGATAGATCTCACAAAAGTCTTGTGAATGGATCATGAAACCACTTTATTATCACTAAAAAGAAAAAATTCTTCCTGACATCATATTCATAATAAGCAGAAAGTGAATAATAAGAGTGTCACAAATGAAAATGTAAAGCAAAAGTTAGTTCTGAATTATTTTAAATATTGGGTTTTGATTTTTATATGCGTTTGATTTTTTATACAAACAATAGTTCATGATGAAGAAAAAAGAACTGTATAACAGCAACTTAATAGTGCATTCATTGTGACAAGAGAACCTTAATATTCATTGAAAACACTTATAAAAATATAAAGGCATTCCAAAAGTCAACTAGAAACTAAAGAGAAAATACATAGAAGATAGACAGACAGACAGGTAATTTTCCAGAAATGAAGCAGACATCAGTAAGAACAACAAAATTCTGAGAAAGACTGACTCTGAATGCTTCAGATTAGAATATATTCTTTTTTTTTTGTGGGACGTATACCGGGAAACAATGGAATATATTTCTTTTTTTATTGGTGTATATTGTGATGCATTCATCCTGAGGACCTGGCACAAATACATAACATATCTTAATTCTTTTTTTTTTAATTTAATGAAAAGGAAACAAAAAAATACATGGAGATTAAAATAAAGGGTATAAATAATACAAAATTACAGAAAAACAAACGGAAGAAATCACTGGTTGATAAGTTACATATTGTCATCTTAGAAATAGCTGTTCAGGTTACAAAATTAAAGTATTTAGAATGACATTCAAAAAATGACACTACAAACAGTTCTGCTCAATGATCGAACAAAAACTTAGTAATATGGTTATCAGTCCTACACATTTGTTTTACATCTCAAAGAGGGTAAGATTAAACATATCAAAACAGAACAAAACAGTTTAAAAAAATTTAAAGAAATACAGATTTCAAAGCAAGTCCACTGGAGATCTTCACTGTCTGTCTCTCGTTTCTTACAAATAGTTGTCCCCATCTTCACCCACTTTATATACTTATTGCATATTATAGAACTAATCAAATCATTACAGGATGATGAAGGCTTTTTAGGTCTTCAAGATCCAACATTAGGGAAGACAATAATAACTACCATCGCATCTCTCATTCTCTTCGTGGTAGCCGTCCCCATCTCAACGTATGCTGAAATTGAACTCAAGACCAGACCGTGTCATTCTAATCAGCGAACAATAGTATTGCTAGAATTTATATCATAATGCTACAAAATTAGCATTGGGTTTCTTAGCGTCTCTTCTTCAGAGTATCTGTTCATTACATCTTGCATTATATAATCTGTTCCCGTAAATAATTTTTTTTAAAAAATTCGTGTGAATTTCTACATATATACCTATCCTCTCTGTATTATAGGGAAAACCAAGTCGTAACAAGACAGCAAAACAAATTCCTAGAAAAACATGCAATAGATAAGACATATAAGACCACAATATAGGTGATCTTCTGTACTTACTATGTTTTCTCTTGTTATTTTCAATAGATTTGTCCACAACACCGGCTTAATATAGTTAAACATAGTATTACCTATTTTTATAAAAACACAACTTTGAAAGCATTGTAGGATTTGAGAGCTGTTAATAGTTATTACCAGTATGGATATCCTTTACATCTTGTCATCTTCAGAGTAGTTGCCTCTACTTTTAGGGTTGATACTAACAAGCATACCAAATTCAAATAAAATCAGCCAAGGTCAACCCATGGTCTTATGATTCAGATTCAATTGAGATCAGTCATAGTAAGACAATGTAAGTAATACAGGATTTCAGTTTAAGTTAATAGGAAAGGATAGTTACCATGGTATAACCTGCTATTTTTGGGTCAGACGTCTGTGCCCTCAAATCTGACATGAGTGGACAGACCAGAACAAATTAAATTCAAACTAAATATGGCGATGAGACTACTGTGTCTTTTAAATTCTGATACACTAATATAACAATGACCTCTGCCTTTTTTAACAATGACCTCTGCCTTTTTTTATAGTGTTTCAGAGCTGTCTATACTAAAGACCATAGCTTACCGTCTCTGCCTCATGTCTGCTACTCCACTTTTCTGCTATAATTTGTCCACCTTACTCCCTCATTCCGCTGTCTGCCCCATTCATTGAGGCCTCTCTGCCACTGTTGCTGGAATCTTGGTATCCCTTCCTCTCTTTCTCTGTAATGTCCTTCAGCACTCTCTGTAGGGTTGGATTGGTGGCCACGAACTCCCACAGTTCCTCCTTGTCTTGGAAGCATTTTATTTCTCTATTAATTTTGAGAGAGAGTTTTGACGGGTATATGAGCCTTGGTTGCATATTATTTTCTTTCAGGATGTGGAATATTTCTCCCCATTCCCTTCTTGACTTAAGAGTTTGTGTTGATAAGTCTGTTGTTATTTTGATAATTTTCCCGTTGTAGGTAATCTGCTTCTTTTCTCTGGCTGCTTTTAATATTCTGTTCTTTTGGTGGATTTCTGGAATCTTGATTATTATATGTCTAGGCGTAGATCTGTTTTGGTTGTAGGTAGCTGGTGTTCTGTATGCCTCTTTTATCTGAATATCATTTCTTTTTGCTATACATGGGAAATTTTGCTTTAATATATCTGTGAATATTCTTTGTATTTCATTTTTGGTTGCTCCTGCTTCCTCACTCACATTCTTTATTCTTAAGTTATGTATTTTTTGTCATCTTCCAGTTTTTGAATTGCTTCTTTCTGGTTCCTTGTTATTTTTAAGAGGCTTTTTCTTTCACGATCATATGCCATAAATCTCTCTTCAAGTTTCAGAAGGCTGTCTTTAGTTTCTGTCAAGGCATTTTGCCAGTGTTCAATGGAGTTTTTAGTTTCCTGGTATTCTCTTTGGATCTGTTTCATGTATTCTAAGTTATGTTTAAATTCTTCTTCAGAAGTTTCTCTTTCTTTTCTGATTTCCTCAGTTCTTCCATCTGTGTTCTCTTGGGCGGGGCTTGTCATTTCTTTAATTAATCTCTTTATATCTTGCATCACTTGGATCAAAGAGTACAGCTTTAAATTCATCTATGAGGCCATGGAGGTATTTTTTAATTTCGGCTGATGCTGTGTCCAGTATTGGATGGTTACTGTGCTTGTTCTCTTCAGTGTTTACTTCTCCTGGGCTTATTTTCTCATGTTGGGCAGCTTGAGATTTTATTTTTATCTCTTGTCATGTTTCTGGTTTCTTTCAGACTGGAGTGGCCTGGGGGTCTCTGGCCCTCTCTGTATTGCTTAGGGCCTTTCAGAAGCGTGCTGAATCCTACTTGATCATGATGTTTGATTTGTGGGTTTTTTTTGTTTTTCTTTTTTTTGTCGTTTTGAGACAGGGTCTCACTATGCAGTTCAGGCTGGTCTTGAGCTCACTTTGTAGCCCAGACTGGTCTCGAACTCACAGCAATCCTCCTGCCTCAGCCTAATGTTTGATCTTTTTGATGATATTTTTGCATTGTTTTCCAGTATCTTATTAAGGATTTTTCCATTTGTATTCATTAAAGAAATTGGCCTATAGCTCTCTGTTTTGCTTAGGTTTTTGGCTTTTTTTTTTTTTTTTTTTTTTTTTTTGGTTTGAGGATCAAATCAAGCAAGTCATGCTTGCTTCCAAGAGTGACTTTGGAAATACTGCTTCCCTTTCAATTTCATTGAAGTTTGAAGATTATTGGAATTAGATCTTCTCTAAAGTTCTTGTAGAATTTAGCAGTGAATCCATCAGGACCTGGACTTTTCTTATTTGCAGGGGATTTGTGTTTTTTGTTTTGTTTTCTTACATCTTTT